AACCTACACATTTATGGACTGTGGGAGGAAACTGGAGCGCCCAGATGAAACCCACAGGGAGAATATGCAACCTCCACACAGACAGTCACCTGAGGGTAGAATTGAACCTAGATCCCTGGCTCTGTGAGGCAGCAGTGCTAACTGCTGAACCACCATGCTGCCCCTTATTTAGATGGATTTGAGAAGCTGGAAATGTTCTCATTGGAGAGAATTAAGAGGAGATTTGATAGAGCTGTTCAATATCATTAAGGGTCTGAACAGATTAGATTGGGTCGACTGTTGCCAGAGAGAGTTACAGAACTCACTGGTGCAGAGGGATCTGCAGGACCAGGTTAATAAATTGCAAAAAGTTGAAATGCAAGTAGAATGTTGTCATTTATTGTAAGGGGAATGGAATATAAAGGTAGGGATGCTTTAATACAGTTGTACAGTGAATTGGTGAGTCCATTTGTGTTTGTGATGAGATGTGGGAAATTAAGGGAATGGGTCTGGGTGGGATGCTCTTTGGAGGGGCGGTGTGGACTTGTTGGGCCAAATGGCCTACTTCCACACTGTCGGGATTCTATGATCTATAGCTAGACTACCGCATACAGCTTTGGTCTCCTTATTTATGAAAGGATAGACTTGCATTGGAAATAGTTCAGAGAAAATTCGCTCGATTGATTCCTGGGATAATGGGATTGTCTTATGAGGAAATGTTGAATGGGTTTGGCCTGTATCCATTGGAGTACACAAGAGTGAGAGGCGATGGGCCAAGTGCCAGAAAGTGGGAGTAGTGTAGTTAGGTTGGCACAGACTCAGTGGGCCAAATGGCCTCTTTTGTGCTGTATGTCTTTATGATTACCTTACTGAAACATATGGTCCTGAGGTCTGATCTAACCGGGTGTCCAAGGTGCGCTCCCTCAAGCCTGTGCCACTACTGTCCCTCCCTGGAAGATTATTCTGTACATTTATCACTCTTTTGCATGAATTGCTGCCACCTTGGAGGGAACTTCAAAGCCATTTAAAGGGACAGAACGTGTGGGAGGACAGCGGCAGCCCAAGGAGAGGACTGAAGACCATCCTATCGGGGAGGGGCCAGCGAACCCCAGTCAGCCAGTTGTGCCCATGTCATGAGAATGAATTTTAAAACAAATCAGATTTTAGAAGAAAGTGATTATGTTTGTTAGTAATGAGATGTAAATACCTCCTGACATTGCAGGGGGGTTTATCAGTCACAAGGAAAGCAGCGCACAGCTTGCCATTTCTAATTTCTTGCCAGCATGTTGTCAGGATCAAATGTGTCTGTCACGAAGGGTGGGTGGAGGCTTGGCCCAGAGGGTGCAGACTCCATCTGCCAGGGAGGCAGGGTTGCAGGGATAGGGTGGAGGGCTGGGTCTGGTTGGGATGCCTTTCAGCGGGTCGGTGTGGACTTGATGGGCCGAATGGCCTGTTTCCGCACTGTGGGGATTCAATGATACTATGAATGGGGCGGGGAGGGGGGAAAGTGGAAAGGGAGTTTGAATCAGGGAGACAGTGTACCAGAAATACAATGGTGCATTTCTCTGGGGGAGTGAACTAAAATAAAGGGCCTCCTGGGGACAATGCAGATCTTAGTGAGTCATTCCTTGCTGCTGAGCAAACGTCAGCGCAGACACTAATCGAAATGGATCTGCTGGGTTCCCAGCAACAGGCTGCATCTCCTGCTCTGTCACCATGGAAACCAGGTATTACCAACCCCGCATTTGTAGAACCACAGCTATGAAGTCGCCTCTTATATAACCCAGAGATGACACCGTTCCATGGATAGTCAAGTGTTGCATGAAGAAAGCAAACAAATAACTCTATTACAGCTATTATTTTTAATTTTACTCATCGACATATATACCAACATTGATATGCGTTTATAAAGCGCCTGTAACATCATAAATGTCTCATAGTGCTTCAGAGGATTATAAAATAAAATTTTGTAGACTCTGAACCACATCAGGAGACAGTCAGTCAAGTAAAAGCTTCATCAAAGGAGTAGCTGTTAAGGAGTGTCTTAAAGGAAAGGGAGAGTGAGAGGTAGAGATTTTTACTGAGGCAATTCCAGAGGTGAGGGCCGAGGCAGCCATGGGCATGGTTCTTAATGGTTGAGCAATTAAAATCTGGGATGCCTAAGCAACCAGAATTAAAGGAGTGTGCGTTTTTTAAATTCACCTACAGAATGTGGGCATTATTTATATTCCAGCATTTCTTGCCCGTCCCTTACTGCCGTAAGGTGGTGACCTACTCTCTTGCACAGCTATAGTCCCATGTGGTGTAGGTATATCTACAGTGCTATTAATGTAAGTCAGGATGGTCTGTGGCTTAAAGGGGAATTTCCCCTTGAATCTGCTAACCTTGGCTTTCTGGATGCCAGAAGTTGTGGGTTTGGAAGGTGCTGTCTGAGGAAACTTGATGATTTGCTGTGGGGTACCTTGTAGATGGTGCGTATTGCTGCCACTGTGGTGGAGGGAGTGAATGTTGAAGGTGGTGGATGGGGTGCCAGTCAAGTGGGCTGCTTTGTCCTGGATGGTGTCAAGCTTTTGAGTGTTGTTGGGGCTGCAGTCATCCAGCAAATATTCCATCACGTTCTTGACTTGTGCCTTGTAAATAGTAGACAGGCTTTGGGGACTCACCACAGGATTCTTCTGACCTGCTTTTGTAGCCACAGTATTTATATTGGCTTGTCTAGTTGAATACCTGGTAACCCTGAGAATATTGATAGGGGTGGGGGGTGGGGGATTGGAATTCACTGATGGTAATTCCATTGAATGATAGGCTCTTGTTGGACATATCATTGCTGGCATTTGTATTGCATGGATGTTACTTGCTACTTGTCAGCCCACACCTGGGTGTTGCTCAGGTCTTGTTGCATAAGGGCACGGACTGCTTCAGTATCAGAGGAGTTGCCCATCCCTGTCTGATTTATATTTGCCCTGTGTCCCTGCCCACTGGAAACTTTGGACCATACTGGCTGCTGTACAGTTATAGAGTCATAGAGGTCTACAGCATGTAAACGGGCCGTTCGGCCGAGTTTCCCCATGCTGCCCAGTTTTCACAATTAAGCTAGTCCTATTTTCCTGGGTTTGATCCACATCCCTCCATACCTGTCCTGTCCATAGAACCCATTAATTTTTTTTTTTGACATTTTCACTGTTAATGTCTGTAATGTCATGACATTACAAACTTTTAACATAAGATGTGTCGAATGAAGTTTTTTTTAAGCTATTTATTCCTGAGATAATAGAAAGATTCGGACAGCACTTTCAAAATAATTTATAATCTTAGCTGTCTTCAAAACAAGAATATTTGCAATCATAAATAGGTCTTCCATTGCTGTGGTATGTCCTTATCTCTGGGCTGGAAGGTCTGGGTTCATGTCCCACTTTCCCCAGAGGTGAGTTATCACATAATTGAGCAGCTTGATTAAAAATAATTAATATTTGTTCTTTGAATGAAATGGTTTATCGAAGATCGTGCCCTTGAATTCCATTGCAGGGGCTAGTTTAGAGCCAACTGCATTGCTGTGGGTCTGGAGTCACTTGTAGGCCAGGATGGGTAAAGCTGACAGATTTTCCTTCCTAAAAAACATTAGATAGGTTTTCCTGACATTTAATGATAGCTTCACGGTCGTGATGGCTAGCTTTCGATTCCAGCTTTTATTAATGGAATGAAAATCCCACTAACAGTCATTCGAATCCATGCCCCAGAACCTTAACTTGGACCCTATCCAAACAGCATTATCACTTTGCCACTATATGAGGCCAGAATAGGAGGAATTTGGCGATCCTGGAAGGCTGCAGGGCCGAAGAAGGTCACAGAGATTGGGAGGAGTCAGGCCCTGGTGAATTTTAAAATCAAGGTTTTGGTGAACGTGGTAATAAGTGGATGGGACTTTAGTTCTGTGGCACATGTGGGTTCTGGTTCTTGTGCCTGCTGAAGAAACCTTGAGGGAACACGAGAGCTGAGTACTGGCCTGGGAGCTGGGTACAAGGAATGTACTCCAGATGGGTAGGTCCACCTTCATTTGTCATTTATATAAATGATTTGGTTGAGAATTTAGGAGGTATGGTTAGTAAGTTTACGGATAACACCAAGATTGGTGATATAGTGGACAGCAAAGACAGTTATCTGGGAATAAATGATTAACTGGGCCAGTAGGCTGAGGAATGGCAGATGGAGTTTAATTTAGATGAATGCAAGTTGTTGCATTTTGGTAGGTCAAACCTGGACAGTCAATGGCAGGGCCTTGGGGAGAGTTATAGAACAAAGAGATCTAGGGGAATAGATTGACAGCTCCTTGAAAATGGAATCACAGGTAGACAGGATGGTGAAGAAAGCTTTTGGCATGCTTGCTTTCATTGGTCAGAGCATTGAGTCTAGGAGTTGGGACAACCTGTAGTTGTACAAAACGTTGGTAAAGCCACATTTGGAGTACTGCGTGCAGTTCCGGTTACCCTACTATAGAAAGGATATAATTAAACTAGAAAGAGTGCAGAAAAGACTTACGAGGATGCTATCTGCTCTGGAAGGTTTGAGTTATAAGGAGAGGATGGATAGGCTGGGACTTCTTTCCTTGGAGTGTAGGAGACTGAGGGGTGACCTTATAGAGATCTATAAAATCATGAGAGGCATAGATAAGATAAATAGCCAACAGTTATTCCCCATGGTGAGGGAATCTAAAACTAGTTTAAGGTGAGAGGGGAGAGATTCAAAAGGGTTCAGAGGAGCAATTTTTTCACACAGAGGGTGATGAGTGTCTGGAATGGACTGCCAGAGATAGTGGTGGAGGCGAGTAGAATTTTGTCATTTAAGAAACATTTGGACAGGTGCATGGAGAGAGGGATATGCACCAAACACAGGCAAATGGGACTAGATTAATTGTGAAAACTGGGCAGCATGGACAAGTCAGGCCGAAGGGCCTGTTTCCATGCTGTAAACCTTGATGAATTTATTCCAATATTAATTAGAACCTCTTTCACTTGTTTTTACAGAGACACTGGAGTCTGAAAACAATGCTGCCAAGCTACCGACTTATCAATTGAGGTAAGCCTTTGAGTTTTATTAAAGTCTAAAGCACATGCATGCGCACAGGATTTGACTAGGTGGATGTAGAAAGGATGTTTCCTCTTGTAGAATGACCTAGAACTAGGAGTCATAATTTAAAAATAAGGGGACGCTCATTTAAGAGAGCGATGAGAATTTTTTGACTCAGGGGGTTGTGTGTCTTTAGAATTCCCTTCCTCAAGTTTCAGTGGATGCTGAATCTTTAAATATTTACCAGAGGGGTTGAAAGATTATCGGAGGATGTGCAGGAATGTAGAGGAGAGATTAAAATTAGATCAGCCATGATCTTATTGAATGTTGTAGTAGGCTCGAAGAGCCAAGTGGCCTACTCTTGTTCCTTGTTCATAAGTTCGCATGGGGACATGAAGACAGTCAGTTGTTTCAGAGATACTCTAGGAATCCATTATTTGAAGGATGTCCTTTGAAGTAGCAGTTGATGTAAAAAGTGGCCCCCATAGCTGAACCTGTGACCTGAACATAGCCTGTGAATGTGGAATGCTGTGGCTATCAATTCTGTCAGAAGTCACAAGACACCAGGTTATAGTCCGACAGATTTATTTGAAATCATAAGCTTTCGAAGTGCCAGACTTTTCAAAGTGTCAGACTTCACCTGACGAAGGAGCAGTGCGCTGAAAGCTTGTGATTTCAAATAAACCTTTTGGACTGTAACCTGGTGTCATGTGACTTCTGACCTTGACTACCCCAGCCCAACACCCGCAACTCCACATCATAAGCTACAAATTCTGTCCTGGATGGTGCTGTGCTCCGGGACTGTTGTTGGAGTTGTACTCATCCAGTCAAGTAGGAAATATTCCACCATGCTCCTAGAATGTTTACAGCATACGAGGAGGCATTTGCCCCATCTGTCAGTGCTGGTCCTTTGCAAGAACAACTCAGCCAATCCCACACCTGCTTGCAAATCTTTTCTCTTCTGATTATTACCCAATTCCTTTTGGGAAGCATGATTGAACTTCCCTCTACCAGACTCTATCAGTGCATTCCATATCCTAACCGTTATCGACGTAAAAAGGGGTTTTCCACATTTCTCCATTGGCTCTTTTGGGATTCATCTTAAAGTGCTGTCTTCTGATGCTTGCTGCTTCCACCTATGGGAACAGTGTCTCCGTATCTCTTCTGTGTAGATTCCTCATGATTTTTACAACTTCTACATCTCATCCCCTCTTAACTTTTTCTTCTCAGTGATGGGAAACAAATGATGTGTGACTTGGAGGGGAATTTGCAGATACCGGTGTTCCCATGCACCTAGCTGCCCTAGTCCTCCCAGGTGATTGTGGTCGTGGGCTTGGTCTGTACTGTTAAAGGGCTCTTAGTGAGTTACTGCATTGCACCTGGAGATGGTACACACCACTGCTACTGTGCGTTGATAGTGAAAAGAGTGAATGTGGTGCCAATCAAGCAGGCTCAGATCATAGATCATAGAATCCCTACAGTGTGGGGCAGTTCGGTCCAACAAGTCCACACCGCCCCTCAGAGCATCCCACCCAGATCCATCCCTCATAACCCACCTGAACACTATGGGCAACTTAGCATGGCCAATCCACCTAACCTGCACATCTTCGGACTGTGGAGTCAGCAGATGAGTTTGTTGTGCAGAATTCTCAGGCTCTGACCTTCTCTTAGAGCCATAATTTTTGTATTATAGAATCCCTACAGTGTGGAAGCAGGCCATTCAGCCTATTGAGTCCATACCGACCCTCCAAAGAGCATCCTACCCAGATCCACCACCCCCCCATCCCTGTAACCCTGCATCTCCTCACGGCCAATCCACCCAACTTGCACATCTTTGGACTGTGGGAGGAAACCGGAGCACCTGGAGGAAACCCACGCAGACACGGGGAGAACATACAAACTCCACACAGACAGTCACCCGAGGGTGGAATCGAACCTGGGTCCCTGGCGCCGTGAGGCAGCAGTGCTAACCACTGAGCCACCATGCTGCCCAATGCTGTGCCCTCTCTGGAAAAATTTCCTGGGGCTGGATGCTGCAGGAATTGACAACCTACACAACACAGCCAAGCTGTCATTTAGTCAGAATATGATTCAGGGCATGTTCGTCCTTTCAGTCTGGAGACAGGCAGTAAGTTGGCTTCCTGTCAGTGGAGTGAAAGATTGTTAGTGGCTCTACTCACTGGACTAATAAAGAGCCACAAGTGTGAATAAGCACTGACAGTCCTAACAACTGTGATCATAAAACCACAAGGAATACCATGCAGTATGCCATTTAGCCCCTCAAACTGTCATTTAATCATTGCTTGGCTGAGCTGATTTTAGGTTGAGTCCACTCTTCTGCATCCCACCCTTAATCATAGCTTGGCTGAGCTGATTTTAGGTTGAGTCCACTCTTCTGCATCCCACCCTCCCCATCCAACTCTCAACTCCTCTAGATCTGTCTAATGCAGAGATGAGAGAACTTTGGAAAACTTCAGTAATTTTAACTTTAAATTGCCGAACGTTTTCCAAGATCTTATCAAAACATATTATGATCCTGGGCAGTCTTGAACAGGAGGAGGTTTTCTCTCACTGCAGGAGACTAGAATTAGGAAACGCATTTTAAGAATAAGATGCCTCTAATATAAGGCTGCCCCAGCGCTGGTACAGTTAAACTACTGTTCAAAGCTAACCCTCAAGGGTGTTAATAATAGGCGATTCAGTGATGGTAATGCTTTTGAATATCACAGGGCGACAATTAGATTCTGTCTTGTCGGAGACGGTCATTACCTGGTGCTGGAGTAGTGTTTTTTGCCATTTCAGCAGGTGGATAACTAGTATGCCAGAAAAAGGTTCATAAAAGGCTAAACTTCTAACCGTGTTTATTTACAAAGAGGATTATTTGGAGAACTTAATTCTGATACTGGACATACTAGTGTAGCAGTAGAAGTCCAGAGACTGGAGGATTGAAACACACCAGTGCTGCCAATATCTGTGAATTTTCATGCACATATTTGATAATCCTGGTGCACAGCCAGATCAGAATATAGGCTTGGAACAAGTTATAGCAACAGCCTGATTGATGCACTGCAGGACAAACTGGTCTGCTACTGCCCACACTGATATCAATATGCTGTTGCAAAAAAGGCTGTTTCTTAAAAATTTATCATTCACACTCAGACTGTGGATGTTGTTTAAAAGAATGGGTACTTATTGGCTATTTCTAATCAGGTCTAGATCAAACCAGAAATGTCTTTAGAGGGGACTAGTGAGCCAGTCAGATTCTGTCACGTTGACGTGATTAGCTGAATGATGCTAACAGCCTTCGGAAACTGCAGCCTGAAGGAGTAGGAGGATAAGCACTTAGGGATGATGCAAGGTCTGTGGATAATCATATCTGAGTTTGGCAGTTGGAACCCACAACAATCATGAGACAAAATCCTTTGGAAGTGCATTTAAATTTGATTAATATTTCTGAGTGAGACTTTTCCTAATGGGCACTTATGAATCATTCATTAACCTCTACAGACTCACTGGGTGATCAGTCTCCGTCCAGGGTGTTGTTCTGGGGTGTTGCTGGCAGTTGGTAATTTCCCGGTCACCTGTTCCTACCTTGTCCTGTTCATACTCATCGCTGCAAGGCAGGTTCCTTGTGATTAATGTATTTGGAGCTGCGCTTGATGTTGTAAGTCTTCTTAGTATGCTCCTAAACAGTAGTTAATCCCTCAGTCGTTGTGTCGTCTGGATTTCACACTTGCATGTGGATGATGCAGTGAGGGGTTGGACGACAGTGGAGTGGGAAGTATGGAAAAGGTTGGTTTTAGAACACTTTGCCCCCACTTCATTGTGTTCCCGCTGTTCCATACCAGCCATGCCAACGTGCAGAGGTAAGGTTGGAGGGATTTTTCACACTTTCAGGGAGCTGTGAATATATTGTAATGTCAGCACAGGCTTTTTAAAAATTCCTTTAATGGATGTTGGTATTGCTGGCTAAACCAGCGTTTACTGCCACAGAGTCATAGAATTAGACAGCATGGAAACTCATCCATGCCGATCAGATATCCTAAATAAATCTAGTCCCATTTGCCAACATTTGGCTCATGTCCCTCTAAACCCTTCCCATTCATATACCCATCCAGATGCTTTTTGAATGTTGCAATTGTACCAGCCTCCTCTACTTCCTCTGGCAGCTCATTCTATACACATACCACCCTCTGCGTGAAAAAGTTACGCCTTAGGTCTCTTATAAATATTTCCTCTCACCTTAAACCTATGCCCTCTAGTTTTGGACTCCTCCACCCTGGGGAAAAGACCTTGGCTTCTCCCCCTACCCTTGCCATTCATGATTTTATAAATCTCTATAAAGTCACCCCTCAGCCTCCAACGCTCCAGGGTAAAAAGCCCCAGCCTATTCAGCCTGTCCCTATATCCCATCCATAATTACCCTTGAGAAGGGGATGGTAAACTGCGTTACTGAGCCATTACTGAAGTCCCCCCCCCTCCAACTGCATAGAGCTGTTAGGAAAAGAATTCCAGAGTTTTGACCCTCTGACAGAGAAGGAACGGAGTTATACTTCCAAGTCACGATGCTGAGTGGCTTGAAGGGAAACTTGGAGGCGGTGGTATTCCCATGTTGCTGCTGCCCTTGTCAGTCTTGGTGATAGAAGTCACATGTTTGGAAGCCGGTCTCAGAGGATCCTTGGTGAGTTGCTGCAGTGCATCTTGTAGATGGTACACAATGCTGCTACTGAGCGTCGGTGATAGAGGAAGTGAATGTTTCTGGATGGGGTGCTAATCAAACAGGCTGCTTTGCCCATTGAATGCATTTAAGGAGGAGATAGACAGTCCCTGCTTTGGTGAAGCACTTCTAACTTGGCCAGGTTTTCCACAGAGATTTCCAGAGCCACATCCAATAAAATTCACCACCTACCACAAAAGGATATATTTGGGTCAAAGAGTTAGGATTTATACAGGAGGCTGAGAAGTGGAAAGTTTTAGAGGGGGGATTCTACAGTTAAGCACCCAGGCAG